CTTTGGGAGACTATCAAGAAATTTCTCTAGTACAAGAATTTCTTCTGAAAGACAGTCTTGAACATACTGAACAACTCTCAAATGGTCAGCAATATCCTGCGGAAGGTCTAGTAACTCATCCTCACATACCCTATACTCTAGGCCGGATTCCTCTAGAAGTTTTTCCACAGCTAGTGCCTCGTCCCAATCTAACCCGGAATCTTTTTCTTCTACCACAACAGTGTTTACCAGATTCTCTTCTACTTGAGGCTGCACTGTCATTTCCTGCTCACGTTCCTTGCTGCTGACGACCTCCACTGGCTGAATCTCTGGTAAACTGTCTCCCACTTTGTCATCAAGCGGCATTTTCTCTTCACAAGTCAAAACTCCACTGGGTACAAGGATTGTTTACAGAGTATATGTAAACTAGATCACTAAATTGAAAACTAAAAATAGTTTAACTAGAAACTATCACAAAGTGTTACAGGATCACCAGTAACCCTTTTTACTGTAAATTATACTGATGTATAATTACCACAGTAAAATGATACGATAACTGAAGAGAGTTTTAAGACCTATATAAAGTCAACTCTAAAATGCGTAGCACAGGAAATAATTGCCAAACCTTGTGCTCAAACTATTCCATACTCTGTGTAATACCACACACTACTCTTATCACTGATAGTAGAAATCTGATATATGATCAAATGTGCCTGAACTACTACGTCTGTAAACTGAAGTAGTTTAGACTTCAGATGTTCTGATATCCCTGGTGATTCTCATCTTAGTGTAACTATAAAATGAAATATCTAAATGATTCACTATCATTTAGATGTACAAATGAGTCACTCTCATTATAAGATGCTAAGTTTTTGGCTGCTGCTAGTACGTGCACTGCAAGGTGACAAACCAGTCTAGTACATAGTATTTAGCAGTTACTATGTAGTAGAATACGATCAAAGTACAACAAGCATCAATCAAGTACCAAGGTATTTCGACTCAAAAGCGCAAAAGGGAGAAAAAGAGTGTCCCAACTCTTTTAACCATCCTCTGAAAGCACGAGCAGCCGAAGACCGAAGTTTCTTACGTTGCAGACCCCCTCGAAAGTCTTCGAGGGGGTCTGCAACGTAAGAAACACAACGGCAGTTTTGGTCGAAGCTCACCCTGATTGATGACTTGTGGAATTAGTGAATCCCCGAGTGAATGTACTAGGAATATCCGAAATGGCGGGTAATCTGGCTCCGTAGATTCTACTGAAATTCGGTAGAAGTGATCGGTAGTATACCGCTCCTGAAGATTAGGAAAGGAGGTCGGTCTACCTAGCGACATGGCATGTCCCGGACTTTAAACAGATCTCTCTCTGGCCCCAGATTCTGTAAGCACCAGTGGGTGCGCTTCTCAAAGTACAAGTTAGGGCAAGTATTTCTTGACAGCTCCTGGCCTCTTCACTCGACATCCTGGCTTTTGTCGAATAGCGACCAGCTTAGAGGTTTTTAACGCCCAGGCCCCTTCCAGATCCTGGACATCAACCACAGACAGCCACTGTACTCAAATCTAGTCCCTCAACACTTTTGCCCGCACTAACAAGAAAAGGAAGCGGGAACATTGCATAAGGGAGTCTAGCTACAATCCCTTGCCTCTTTGCCGTACAGGTCTGTAGATTCTTGCACCCTGCACTGCTTTCGGGTCAACAGTAGTAACCCTTCTCGAGCCGGGGTGGAATCGGGAGGACAGTAGATGGCGAGATCTAGAAACTTTGCATATTCAATCACTTATAGATCAGCCACTTTACTTCTAAGTAAACATCTCCACTTCGGTGTGGCCGATTGGCTTGCCAGTAACAATTCGTGGTAGGACCATCAACTTGTGCTCAGACCAAATATCCTCAAACACCTTGTTTCAACAACTCCATTTTCGGCACGTTCCGGCGGATTGCACCGAAACATAATCTGCACCGATCCCAAGAATCGCTGCCGGCATGAAGTAGTCAGATCTTCTTCCCACCTCCAGGCCAGTGTTGTAGCAAAAGTTCGCGGCAAAAATGAGTTCTCGAAGTCAAGACAGTGAGATTTGCAAATCTGGCCAAAACGGCCTCTCGTAGGATGCGTCCGGTCCAACGCACGGTGTTGCCGACTAGTAAAGTATGTGTAAAAGGAGGTTAGGCATATGAGTCGGTCAGAGACTAATATTAAGAACTTCTCATTCAGCCTGACCAGCAAAACGCAAGAAATAATCAGGCAATAAAGCTCCAAAGCAGCGTAGGTATGATCGTTGTAGCACAGCAAACATTGCCTACAGACTGAGGGGGGCAGTCTCAGTTATCAATTGACGAATCTCCAATCCACGCGGCGAGTCCAAGCCAAACCAAGATCAGGAACAAAGAAAAACCCCTGACGCCGCTTATGAGGTATAAACTCCGACTTTCCTTCCGAAACCAGACACGACCGAGATGAGACCACGAAGGTCGTCCTGAGGTCAAAACGAAGGAGTCACCGAGGTGGAGAAGATCAAAAGGAGAGGAAAGGTCGGGTAAGGTAGGTAGATGGATGTAGATATGAAAAATCGAACCAATTGGCACGCGGCAAAGAGAATTGTTTAGGGTTTGTCTTGGGTACAATCCTCTCCGTTACGAGCACCGGACTGATACGACTGATACGACTGATCTCCTCGGAGCCGCCAATGATGTCTCGAACGAAGAGATATAGAAATACCAACACCGGCCGGACGAACTCAATCTCAATCGTCGTTCCCACACGCAATTCTTTCAAACGATGGCCCTGGCCTCGCCCACGGGTACGCGCCGCTGATACTGCTGCTGCTGCCCTTGACCTTCTCCCCTCCCCGTCTTTTTTCTCCTCAGCTTTCTAATTTGTATGATATAAACCCTGGCGACCAAGTTAAGAGTGCAATCGTCGATATCACACTCTCGACATCCACATCCTCAATGACCTAGTGATCGAGGACTTGATCAGTGAGAAACAGGTAGCACACTGATCTTCAGTGCTCGACGCAGAAGACCGAAATTCCTCGATACATTCACCCCCTCTATGTCGCACAATTTACCTCCCGTCAGATCCAGGAAGTAACTCAGGCCCGAACATACCCGAACTCACCAACTCACACACGCAACGGAACACACAGAAACGTAACAAATTAACAAACTTTCTCGTGATCCCGCACTGCAGGACCCCCACGTGAGTTCTTCGAGTGAAATGAACGGGAGATTCCCCACTGGAATTCCCGTCGGTCAATTACCCTACTGGCAACAAACCGTCACCGTCACAAACATGAGTCAAGCCCAACCCACTCCACACTCGGAGAATCCAGGTCGACGCAAAAGGGAAAGTCGCTCTACGCTCCCGACGCTTCCAGGCTCGACTCGAAGAACTGACGTTCTTCGAGCCGTCCCCGACTCTATACCCCTCGTGACCAAATCCTAACTTCACCTCTAAAGATAGTAAGTGACTAAACTGCGTGGGCCGACTCGTAACTACATGACACTTTGTTAGATAGATATTGAATGTGTTAGTTGACAAGAATACGTCAACAATCAGTATGTTTATGAAGTTAAAATCAAGTGTGATAGTTCAAAACGACATGTCAATGATACATTTGCTTGTTAAGACCATCCGCCATGTATTCAATATAGTAGGAGTGAAATGTATAATGACTATGAGATTTTGAAATTTGTTAGTGAGATCTATGTAAGAAATGAAAAAACTATTCTAAATATCTTTCACCTTTTGAATTGTGTTTTGTTACTAAGTGAATTGCTACTATAATTTCTAGTGTTTTAATGGTATTAAAGTTACATTGCTCTTTATTCATGAAATAGCAAAAATGTGATGATAGCGTTTATTGATTATTGAAGATACGTAGTGACTTATAGAGTCCATTGATTTGCATGTAGAGAGAAATAAAAAAAAAAAACAAAAAATTCTGCACATATACAAGTATATGAGATAAATCCAAAATTGCAATAACAATCTTTAATCTTTGTGATAATTATCTTTATTGGTAAAAACTAGCAGAAACTGCAATATAAATTCAATTTATTGCATAACAATGCTTATACAAAAACATATGGAAGACAAGCAACATAATGCGCAACAAGCAAGAGCAATCAAACAAAAGACAACCAAACAAAAATCACCAAACGTCATGCAAACTTTCAACCTAGAAATAAAACGAATAAAAAGTCAAACATTAACTCCATCGCACCAAAAGTGCATCAAATTGAAACCTCAAAACAATCTAAAAGACCAATTACAAAATAACCATTAAGATGGAATCACGTATCCAAGCTTTAGAAATATCGTCCACACAAACAAGCATAAGAGAGAAAAGAAACAGAATGATCTTGGAACCGGAGAGGCAGTGCCGGAAGGTAATCCAAGGGGAAGAGTTCTAACAAATACAAGAATATGATTGAAGCATGCAGTCTCATAACCCAACCCAAATCACAAGCCAATACTTAGCTGACAATCACCTATTAGAGAGATGCATCTTCCAACAAATTTGCAGAACAATAAGACATAATGTGAAACCTTGTAAATAAAGTTAGCATTGGAGCGGATCTACAACCCTTCTAGCAGAATTCAATGGAATGTTTGGAATTCCTGGCAATTGGTTTAAAACCAATTGCGAGGAATTGCTCCTAAACTATTTGCTTTTTGGCAGGATGGTTTTTAACAGAGTAGCGCAGAACAAAAGAGCAACAAGAGGAGGGTGTTAGCTAAGAAGAGAAGGTATTCCTAGTAACACATTTGCTGAAGGAAGGGTGCAGCGGGACCGGTGCTGAACAACTCTAGAACACATGAACGTCCTCACGTCTTGAAACCAGAGAATTATCAAAATTCACAAAGACCAAAAGTAGTGGTAGATACACCGGAAACGTCGTCTGCACCTAGGAAATCATAAGGAAGGAACGCGTAAGGAAAGATGGTCGAAAGCAGAAAAGGTATATCCTTCTAGTTCATAACAAATCATAGCTCACGAGCGCGGCGCCTAGTAGAAAGAAGCATAGTCGTAATGGAGCAATCAAACAAAGCAAAATCCTGAAAGTAGAGAATTTCTTTCCTAGATCAAGCATGAATGAACCGTAATAGACTTCAGCTCGATTTGGAGACAAAACAATACACAGTGAATCAAATTTGACTTCCAAGAAATCCCATTGACGAAGTGGCGCAGGAATCTTCAAAGTCAAATTCTGAAACTGATTTTCAAAAGAGGTTTCGTATCCAAGAACGTTGAGAAGTCAATCCTTCGAAAAAATCCAAAGAACAACAAGTAGACATTGCTCATGCTTTCCATCCGCTTCGAAAGAGGCTAAAAAACGATGGAAAACCGAGATAACCTGTTGCTACTACCTCGCTCCATCGTTTTCCCGGACCCTATTTTCCGTGTTTCGCGGAGGGTTAGGGTTGAGCTTCCTCCTTTCTATAATCAAAGTACATTTATTCACATTGATATTCAGATGTCTATCAGAGTACGATTGAGCGGTAGACTTCATGCATACTGGACACATATTATCCAGTGCAAGAGCAGATTGCGACTAGAAGTCCAGTTCCGCACCAGATTCTGCAATTTCCACTGCACAGGAATAAACCGTCGCCTGCTTGGAAAGCAAAAAGGTGGTGATGATTTTCCTTCTCCACCTGTTCCGACGAGGGCGTTTAGCAGATTCTGGAGGTATTGGTAAACATATTGTCAACTAGTTCGACTGCTCTCGGAGTAGCACAGAGTAGATGAGGATGATGATGTAACGATCGCTGTAAATAAGGACGGTGTCGAGTTTGCACGGAGAGAAGAAAAGCTCTGTCGTCTCCATCCATAATAAGAGTTGAAGCGACGCAGCCGAATTCCAGGATCAATGATTTTGAGCTTGGACGGAGCTGACAACATAAAACACACCGATACATCCATAACAAAGAAGCCACAGAGGAACACCACCACGTCACCGCACGTCAGCACTGGTATGAGCAGACGTGGATGCAATGTACTAGTAGCCGAGTCTCGCCAGCATTGAGCTTTGGCAGCCCACTTGCACCAGACATCCTTCATGAGTTTCTGTCAGCTGCTGATCTTGTCCTCCTATGAACGTTCTCGTTGACCAGCATCAGGATGTGAAATTTTCTCCATCAGTTAGGTCCAGGTGAGGTGGGGAGCTGGATTTCTGTCTCTCAAAGTCCCGTAAGTTGACCGACCATCCGGCTTCTCTTCCGTGCTCCTTAGATTCTCTAGTGCTCTCCTATCTTTGCGAATTGGATTCTCTCTATCCAATGCGCACAATTCGAGTTGACAATTTCTTATGAGCGATCATCGAGTCCAACATGCATGCTTCTCTTCCGTGCTCCTTAGATTCTCTAGTGCTTTTCCTATCTTTGCGCATTGGATTCTCTCTATCCAATGCGCACAATTCGAGTTGACAATTTGTTATGAGCGATCATCGAGTCCAACATGCATGCTCCCAGTAAGCACCAGAATAGATTCCTTTGATTTGGTTGCCGCGCCCGAAGAATCGTCCTCGGGTCGGTAATGATTCAGTCCCACTGACGGGCCACACGCTTGAAAGCTCGATGTTCGACCCCTTCAATTGAATATAAACATTTCGTTCGACTAAACGTTCAAATCTTTCAATCTGTTTTAGGGCTCCGTTCGGGTCGGGTTTGAACTTCAACTCGAAAAACCGGGTCGAGTTCCGAATCCGGAAAACTATTCACAGGACCAACGACTAAAGGAAGCGATTGTTTGTCATCTCGAAGCACAGAATTGGACAGAACAGGCTTATAATGGCTATCAGTTCCAGCATGAAAATACAATTGCAGCGGACAAATCAATAGTTGACGTCAACAGAATACACATCATAATTGGAAAAGAAAATTTGTTCCAGGGATTACGTTTCTGGCATGCACCATATCTGAGTGAAATTGGAAAAGAAAAGAAAATTTGCGTCCAGGTATTACATTACTGGCATGCACCATATCTGCATGAAATTTGTCAAGCTGCAAGCGTGATCTGGAAGCATCGATTGCCATCACCGCGTCCAAAATGGATATCGAGCCTTCAAGAAGTCGCTCGTTTCGGGGTCGTTCAACATTAGAATCAAATTCATTTCAAAAAATGCGTGACAGGACACGTAAATCTTCTCTGCCCCATGACCCTCATCCAGCATGGACACGAAAAGAAAAAGCCATATAGTGAGTTTGCAAAGCCAAAGGAAATCTTCGGGCTCTATATCGTCGTTGCACGAGTATCCTACAATGTCAGCAATTGCACGGAATGGAGAACTGCCCTCCTCTAACATGTAGTAACCACGCTCATTGCAAACCTGTGCGGGCTCCCGTCACGTTACAGTCGCGTACTGCGAGACAAGTCACAAATCTTTACAGGTTTGGAATCGTTGTGGAGTATCGGAGGTCAAAAGTACAAGAAGCTCGTCTTTTCTTTCTTCTCTCTCACCTTCTCGGAAAGCATGACTGCAGACGTCGAACCCCTGCATAATTTAGTGGCTTCAGACTCTGAAGCCACTAAATTATGCCTTTATCAATACTCTGAACTTCAGAGCATTGATAAAGGCTCCTAAATGGTAGCATTTATAATTTTTGGGTTTTCGAACCTGAACCCGACCCAACCCGAAGTCGGGTTTTCGGGTTTTACCCGAACCCGATAGGAGCCCTAATCTGTTTACTTTACCGCGAGGAATCCATCGAGACGATTACTTTAGATTCCGCTTCTCACATCTGGTTAACTAGTCTCTAAAAAATGCCTTCATGCTGGCAGCTTTGCAACGCAAAACATACAATTGGGATGGAAGACGGTCCTGAAAATATGTTTTAATCCCTCCTCTGGCAGCCCATGTTATGCCTCTGGGTTTATCCGTGGACGGCTCGATGCGATCTTCAAAATCTTTGTTGCTACAATTTTCTAATCTGATTTCCGATGAAGCAGCGGTACTCTACTGCTTACAAGGGAGATGATGTGAGTACTTTACGTGTGGTAGATTACATGACTGTACCCCTGTCTTCTGCATAATAGGTACCTGGTCATGTAGGGAAATGCATGGAATACATACTCATCAAGGAGCGCAAGGATGAAACCAAATGGGTCGTTTGGGGCTAGATCCCCAATGAATGAATATCATAATGAGGGTTTCTTCTTCAAATGTATTGTGTCAATGTTGCAGGTCGAAGGCTGAGTAATATAATAAAAAGTATGGATGGTTGTTATCAAATGGTACGCAGTGGAGCCATATTGGCAGGATAGGGCTAGTCCCCAATAACGTGTTCACTTTCACTATGGAAAACATGTCCTATTATATGAACAGCTGGCACAAAATAACTGTAGTCAGATTATTGCCGGAACCTGGTAAGAAACACTCATTGTGGCCTTGTATTGTCGAGTTGAGCACTCCAGATGCCAAAACTTTGTCATGTAAGGAAGCTTGAGAAGGAAGCAGAGACTGCCTCCAGATTCCTTCTTCTGCTGGAAGAAGATCTACTCCTACCGGAGACAAAAGAACAATCAATCCTCGTACGAAGCAAGTGCTCAGCATTCCAAATCTCGTCTAAATTCCTTCCGCCATCCGATCCTAGAGGTGTATTTCTGGTGGCGGACGGGGTAGTAATTTCCCTTCGCGAGGGGAGACAGCTGTTACAGTTGATAATACCCCAAAGGCTTCGAAATATCTGATTAACTTCCATAAAGATGAAAGGGGGGCTCAGTGAAAATTCATAATAACGTTAAAGCTAATGATTAGAGATTAAAACTCACCCGGTGAAGAAAATTTTTATTACCTCTGAAAGTGAGATCCATAAGTGACGCGCTTTTGTGGAATCTGCTTGATCTCAGTTAGACATTATATCCTCTGTCTAAAAGACTTCAAATTTATAATTTTCCAGTTATTACTTTCTCCCCTCAGCAGCCGACAGAAGCTCAGGGGATCTGAGCACACATGCCGGTTCACGAAAGACAGCACGGACGATTTGCTTTTTAATAAGCTGACTTTTGAAGTGGGCTCCACTCCCATTGAGATGGCCACTAAGAACAACGCGGACCGCTTTTCTAGAATCTCATCGAACCTGGTGTACCAGTAAGTGTTCCAGTCCTTCAGGTGAAGAATTTCTTGCCTGGTGACATACTAGAGCGCATTGCAATCGAAGAATTACGTGTCTGATCCTCGCCCGACGACTCGCCCAACCAGGAAGGAAGGGGCAAGGAAGCCCATCGGTTGCATGTGATAGTGTGAAGCCTCACCATTTCCATGTGAGGGTGAGCTCGAGCCCGATCGGAATAAATTTATATCAAACATTTGAGTTTCCTTATAAGTTTGTCTTATTCTTAAAAACTTTGAACAAGATCTTCATCTGAAGCCATGAATATGTTATCTAAAATTTAGCATATGAAGCAATTTTTAAGTCATGTATACAACACAATTTTTCTTCACTTGCACGCGCTCCACCATTTGTGTTCACTGCTGTTGATCCAAGGTTGGAGTAATATTTGTGTCGCTACTCATGCAGAGTGCAAGAAGTCTTATGCCAAGCACGCACATTCGCACCGTACAGTTTTCTTCAGGTGAGCCGGCCTGCGGATTGAGGAGGGAGACTCCTGTAGGGCCGTTTGCATTTCGGCCGCGCATTTCGCCAAGCAGCAAAGGTTCTTGCTGTCTGACAAGGGAAGAGACAATGGAAGGTGCAGGTGTGTCACTTGCGACACGGGGAATGGACTCCGCAGACGAGGAACCGGAGCTTCCTTCCGTTGTCCAGGACCTTCTACGGCAGCTGGAAGGCTGTTGACGGTGCCTTCTTACATCAATCCGGCAAGAATTTCGGGAATTTTTCCCGGAGCATGCATCGCTCTCTACGAAAGTAGGGTGGCGAAACCAAGTGCGCCTTCGAGTGCTGAAGGCAATCGGCAGGTGCAACACCTTTGAATATCTAGGCGTACAAGATATTTTTGGCGGAGATATATCGAGGTTAACGGCTGGCGACTGGAAGGTAGTTTTGAGTGGTTTGCGTAAATCGAGACAACTAGACAAGCAGTAAGAAAAGCCATCGACTTGCAATTGGCTAATCTTGTAAAGTAATATTCCAGGGACAATTGAAATGGTCCGAAATCTGAAAATGAGAAACTGTGTAGATCATCTTCACCTGGTTTATAAAATTCAGATTTGGAACGCAGAGATATTCGACTTGTGCATGTGGCGCACCTGCACCTGGTTTATAATGTTCAGATTTGCAACGAGGAGGTAGTCGACTTGGGCATGTAGCGCAAGTGCACCTGGTTCATAATGTTCAGATTTGGAATGCGGAGGTATTCCAGTTGTGCATGTGGCGCACGTGCACCTTGTGCATGTGGCGCATGTGCACCTGGTTTATAAAGTTCAGATTTGGAACGTGGAGGTATCCGACTTGTGCATGTGGCGCGAGTGCACCTGGTTTATAAAGTTCAGATTTGGAACGTGGAGGTATCCGACTTGTGCATGTGGCGCAAGTGCACCTGGTTTATAAAGTTCAGATTTGGAACGTGGAGGTATTTCGACTTGTGCATGTGGCGCACGTCAACTAGAGTGGCATATGAGTCACCGCAACTCTGAACCCCACTGCATGAAGCGAACAGAGTGCTGGACTCTGACTCGTTCCTGGATTTCTTTTCCTCGCAGCGGTTCCTGGAGACCCGTGCGTTGCAAGGTGGAACGCTAATCTGTACACTGAATAGAGTCAATGGAATCTCGAGGGTGCTGTATGGAAAACCGCTTTCTCAATGTAACAAGGAGACACTTTCGAGGCATATTCTATCGATCTCAGCATTGTCAGAGCGCTGTACTTATGGCCACATGGTGAACAATACTTTTCCTGAGAACAAGCATCGACCGTCTCGTCCGATTCGAAATTCCTTTTCCTGGACCCCAGCAGCTCCGTAATAATTAACCGTACTCCAACAGGCCCACCTGCTTCTTAGATTCGTGTAAATCGGGCCTGAAAAGCAATCATGTATGCGCCCATGGTCTTAAAAATGGTGTGACTGCGTGTCACTCCCTGCGGACAGAGCGAAATCATGAAAGGGTACTTACCTGATTCTAGATTCAACGTCACTCTTGTCGGCACCAGGTGCAGTCATGAAGACGAAGAAAGAACCAAGCTTCAAGGCTGAAATATTTAACTGAGGTTAGGGTTGGCTCAAAATGCGTGTTCAAAAAGAAGAGAAAGAGGTGGCATGACTCTGATGGACTCTGCGCTGGGGCCACTGTTCTATTCAACTAAGGTCCTATTAAAAAGATGCAATGTGTCTAGCCCAGCATCTTCACTTTCTTCGGTGGAGAGTGAGCTGGTGTAAGTTTAATAAAGTGGAAAGTAGTATATTAAATAATTTCTAGACTAGGTTGGGTAAATCTTAGATATATTACAATTTGTGGAGCAAGGAGAAATAAGTAATAAAATTTACAATTACTAGAAGACGTTACACTAAGAGTCAGTGCAAGAGAGTCTTTGTGTCATCAGTGGGAGTGCAAGATACTTTCCACCTGTAAACTTGTGCGAGCAAAAAAGATTTTTGTTCATCTATCTGGAAAGTGTTAATGCAATAATTGTGTATCAACTACATACTTTAATATAAAAAATGGTAAAACTCTCTTACAAATAAAGCCATGTAAAAGTGTACGGGTGCATAATCCCAGATATTCAGACGTACCAAGTAGAATGGTCTGAGTAACCAAAGAAGAAAAAGTCACTAAGTACTTTCGGAACCAACTCGCTTGTACTCTTGTCTGTTTACAGAACACCCTACAAATAGTTGTATCCATTCGAACCTGAGTGAGTGAGGAACTACGCATTCAGTCATTATCTTTGTTATGACTGATTACCGTTTTAATATATTAGTATAGTTGTACTATTCAAGTGTACTGAAACAATCTAAGGACATGAAGAGTCAAATCTTTCGAAGAAATTAAGATTTTTTGTGAGAATCCTAAAGTTGAAACTTTCATGGAATAACTGTCTTGTTTGAAACAAATCATTACAGTTTTTTTTTTGTTTTAAGATTTTCAGATTATATTTTCAGATTAAAATTAAATAAAAATGTCTTGAATTGCAAACTGTGTAACAAATTTTACTACAATATGCTTTACAAAAAGATGGACATGAGCTTTTTCTTTTTTATTGAAAAATAACACTTACTTTTACTTCAAAATTAAACCATATCATGCGGATTTCAGAAAATTAAAATATCTTCCATTAGATTGCAAAAAACCAAATGATTATTTAATAATTTCTCATATTTTATTTTATTTCATTTCATTACTTTTAGAATTTCTAACTTAATTTTATCCAAGCAAAATGACTGGTTTCCCACGTTTACTTTTCGCTTTGCACAACGAAGTCAAATTCTATCCTCACCTTCTTAGACCAATTTCGAATCACACCGAGTATAGAGGAAGTAGCTTGTAGTGTTAGCATGTTGTCGTTACCTCCACCACTCACGCGCTTCAATGAGAAGATCTGATTGAATGACGCTGCATGTTCTTTCCACGCCCTACCCATAGTAGAGTCTGTCTTCGGGGGTCTTGATACAGCTAAATTCGCA